TAATTTATTCAATGTGATGACTTCTATTTTTACTGTAATTTATCCATTATCATCACTGGAAATTGCTCCCCCTGTGAGCACTCAAACTGAAATTCCTTCTTTGACCCCTGAAAGTGCTCTTCCCCTTTATGGCATCACCATGCTATGCTTCCTCATCTGGGTACGTCGCTGCTCTAGTCAGTCCTCTGCTTTCCAGCATGGACTCCAGGGCCAATCACTTCTGCTCTCAGGAGCATCCATAGTTACAATGCTAGCCTGGCCCATGCTTTCTGCTCTTACTGTTTCCAAGTTTGTGTTAACCTAAGCATATTTGTTTGGGTTTTTATTCCTATTTCTGAGCCCTAGCCCTGAAAATTCAGATTACCTTTCCTTATATGGATTCCCCAAAAATTACTTCATTCCTCCATGTCAACTTTTTCCTACATTATCAGTCATTCTTCTCTTCTCTTAGGTCTCATTGAAAGAGATGTCCCTGGACCCTCTTCAAGGATAACCTATCTGAACATTTCTTTCCCTCTTCTTTTGGAACTTACCAACTCCTTTAACATCTTCAACTTTTCCTTCTTCCCTGACCTTTACCCTGATCCTATCTCAAGGTACATTTTCATTTCTTTCCTTCTATCTGTGAAAGAACAGTTAGTTCATGTCACTTTACTTCCTAACTCCTCCTACATTTCTGATTTGCAATCTGGATTCTCCCTTTATAAACGGCTCCTTCAGATTACCTACTCATTGTCAACTCCACTAGGCTCTCCTCATTCTGCATAACTTCTTTGCATTACATATGTCACCAATAACCATTTCTCCTCCATGAAACTCTCTCCTCTCTAGGCTTCTCTCTAGGCTTTCATTGCCTTGGCCTTCCTCCTCTTTCTGACCACTCCGGTTCCTATCTCATCTACTGACTCTGCTTTCCAGAGTGAAGCCTTAAGTTTGGTCCTACCGTAAGAACCTGGCCGCAGGTGCCTTTCCCACATGCTCTCATGATGACCACATTCACTGAAATGGTGGTAACTCCCAAATCTTGATGTCTTTTCACACTATTAATCACATTTCTGACATATTCAGATAATTTTTAATTCAGTAGAATATAAAGGACACCCTCCTACATGACGCAATTGGATCCTATCTTGGTCATTTAATTTTTAAAAAAGCAATTAGCATAGTAATCCATTAAAACACATATACAAATGCTTTGATTTTAAATATAACAATAGTTTTATTCACAGATTCTTTGAGCATGGGTTCACTGTTCCAAAATTCTTGTATAAATCACCCTCATTGCAATAATATAATTTTCTGTCTATTTTTTAAACCAAAGCAGAAGTTTAAGATGTATAAAACAATCTGTGTACAGAATCTTTCAGGATTTTTATTATTTCTTTCCCAAATCTTTTCTAATTCTTAACTATACTTTTGCAGCAGCAACCTGTGAAAACTATTTTCTGATATTAACTCTTCTAAAGCAGTCAACTTTGTTTTCTGCTGAAGTTTTATCATTTGATCTAATATTTAATTAAACTGCATATTGTAACAACGAGCATAATAGGAACCAACACAACTTACTCTGGGTAAGCATTCCACTCCACGGGTGGAAACAAGTGCGTGGATGTACTGGCCGGCAGCCTGCCAGCCACAAGCATTCCGTACGCTCTGTGTTTCACAGAGACAAGGAGAATGATGGCTAATGTGGTGAGCCACTCAGGCAAAGGTAAAAGAGCCAGCCTACATTTTAAAGCTGTGTCAAGGCAGGAATCTTACCTCTACTCTTTTCAGTGGTATAATATTTCCAGGCTTGTACTTTAAAAGTCTAAAGAGGGATTTTAAGATTTATACATGGGATGATAACCTATTTTGAAAAGTACAGTGGAAAAATGATTAATAATTCCTGAAAAACAGGTATGTCCATTCATGGTCAAGTTCCCATGTCTTTAAGGACTATGAAAGCTGACTTACTGTACATAGACTTACAACAATGGAATTCTTTCCCCATTAAAAATATAAAATTAGGACTTTTACGCCTATTCTTCTTTTTCTACTGTCTAATATTCAAGTGATTACCACTAAAAGTTTAAATGAATGAAAATGTTAAAAACCTTCCTGCTGCCAACATTAAAACAATAAGAACAACAACTATTTTTTTTCTTGGCTTTAAGTATCAAGAAAATGACGACTTTTTTAATTTATTTTTTTTATTTTTTTGAGACAGTCTCACTCTGCCCCCCTGGGTAGAGTCCCCTGGCATCAAAGCTCACAGCAACCTCAAAATATTGGGCTCAAGTGATCCCCTTGCATCAGCCTTCCAAGTAGGCGGGACAGGCACTTGACACAACACCCGGCTATTTTTAGAGATGAGGTCTGGGTCTTGCTCAGGCTGGTCTTGAGCTCCTGAGCGCAAGTAATCCACCTGCCTTGGCCCACCAGAGTGCTGGGATTACAGGCATGAGCCACCACACCTGGCCCCAATAACTGATTTTAATAATCTTAAAGAGATTTGCCGTATGTCAGTGAAGTGAAAGGTGAACTTAACTCAATGGAGTACAGAAGGCAGAATCCTGAACTCAGTGGATGATACTGATTTATACAAATTTGAGGATTATTAATTTTGTGTTTTGATCCTAAAAGCTAGTTTTTCCCCAATTTAGAAAAGAGCTTCTAAATACTACTATAAGATGAATAACTGAAAGAAGTTAACACCTTTTGTTTTCCTACAACCTAGGAAAAACAAAGGCAATATTCAAAAACTAATAAATTCCTCCTAGGTGTAAATGAGTTTTTAAATCTATTTTTCTCCACTAATACTTTGGAAGAGCCGTTACATTTCTGTTTTTCTTGTTACAGGCTACTTATGCTTTTGAAATATTAGTAAAACAAGAAAAAAAGAATAATTTTTAATGAAAATTCATACAAAAAAATCTAGATATAATAAAATACTAAATTTAAGATCTATAATTGGCCTATGGGTGGATCTGATGTGCTGTTAATTGTTGTACATAATTAGAAATGTGTAAGCAAAATATTTCAGCCTAAATTGAATTATTCTATCAGGTAATATGCAATACTACCCAACCTTTTGCAAACCGCTGTTCTCTTCTTTTTTGTGTGAATATTGTCATACTAAAAAAAAAAAGAATGTCTCAGCACTGAGATGCAAGTAAAACTGACATTTTACATAATCTGTGTCCCTGCCTGTCTTTTAATATTAACTTGATTGGTTTTTTCCATCTCTTAATGTTATATAAGAAGATGCTAAACTAGTCACCCAAAAGAAAAAATGACAAGGAAAAGAGCATTTTATGAGGATTTCAAACAGTATTTTAAACCACTGGTGAAAAGTAATGTACCTGAGTAGCGGTTCACCAATCGAATAAGAACAACGAGAACCATGATAATATCAGGTCACATGATTATTTTACTTTACCTTCAACAAACTAGCCATGAGCTTAATTATTTACTATAGCTATGGTGGGTCAAAGAGCGATCTAGCCCAAACCATGCAGTTCAATTATAGCCAGAATAGGAAAAAGCCTTTACCTTTTATCTTGAGGATTAGTCATTTTTTTCTAAAACACATCAGACACACAAACAACTCAACTAGAAAATCTTTAATCAGTCAGCAAATCAAAAGGTCAATACTAGTTCACATGTGAAATACAATAAAACAGTTAAATTAGAAGGGATTTTATAAGTAATCCAAAACGTCTTCCTGGTTATTATAATGAGTCCCTCTGAAAACAGTGATTTCTACACTACTTAAAATTGCTCATGAGTAACTGAAAAACGGCCAGTTGGAATGATCTTAAGCTGCCGGGAAGTCTGTGGTTTTCCTATTTTGTTCCATTAGTGTTTTTCCACCAGTCAACATGACCAATCATTCACCAATCTCCTTTCTTCAAAAGTTCCCTAAAATTATCAGCACCTATAGCTCAACCGGCTAAGGCGCCAGCCACGTACACCTAAGGTGGCGGGTTCGAATCCCCAGCCCGGACCCGCCAAACAACAATGATGGC